TATTGTGGCCAGCCTAAGGCACACCTGTGCAATAATCATGCGGTCTAATCAGCATCTTGATATGCCACACCTGTGAGGTGGATGGATTATCTCGGCAAAGGAGAAGTGCTCACTAACACAGATTCAGACAGATTTGTGAACAATATTTGAGAGAAAAAGTCTTAGGTCTTTGAGTTCAGCTCATGAAAAATGGGGGCAAAAACAAAAGTGTTGCGTTTATATTTTTGTTCAATGTAAGTATCAGATTTCTCCTAACTGTCTTGGGAGTCAGTAGTATGTCAGTAAGACTATAGAGCTATAAAATGAATGTGGAGAGCAGTTCAGATCATTTGATCTTCTCTAGAGGAGAAACATGAGATTACTGGAGCCTTTTTCTCATGAGAAAATTTCACCTAGCCTCCTTTTTTTTTTTTTCTAACCTGTGGGTGGAAGTGTTCTTCATGCACTCACTCTTAGTTGTGGTGGTGACCGTCGTGAGGTTGGGGTACATTAGGTGGATGTCAATAATAATGGTGCTGGAGCAGACGGGACCTATGCCTATTTGGGAAACAAAGTGATCTGATGTTCCCTCAAATGGGGAACCAGTCAAAGTAACCTGTTTAAAACCCAAATGAAACAGATTGTATTCATTGTTTTAAACTTTAGAATGATGAGAATCTGAACAGAATTCCAAAATGAAAGCTCCACTGAGGAGAAACAGCTTGCATATTAAAGCGATGCCATTGTTGATTTCTCTTTCCTCCAGATAAAGCATCTTAGCGTGGCTTGAATTCACCTGATGCTTCGAAGTCCTCAGTGAGTGGGTTCGGGTGGCTAAATCATAGTGGCTAAATTTGGGCCCTGGGTGGCTGCTTGGGCATTTGGTGGACTTCTTCAATGTAAGTCAGTGGGATTTTTCACAATGAGCAACAGTATAGTGATACTTGCCTATACACTAATTAACCCTTGTGCGTCAATTAAAAAAAAGTTACACATAGGTCCATAGTGGACAAAAATGTCCATGTCAAAAAACTGTCATAAAAATTTGAAGCTTGGGAGCACAGAGTTAAGTTTGGTCTCATTTTAAAGAAGACCCATGGCAGATTATTGTTGAAGTAAAAAAAGTTTAAAAAGTGAAACCAAAAAAAAAGTTCTAGATGTTTAGGTTTATGAAAATGATTTATGAACGATGTTTTATATAAAATATATATTTTATGAAACATGTTGAACTCTATACCTGCTAGAAAATCAAAGCCATAAATCTAAACAAGTTGTGTTCCAAGTTTGAGGTTGATATCTCAAAAAATGTGCTTTCAGTATGTTGTTTGGGCGCAGTACCAAATTTTCCCCATTAGATGCCAGCAAAACTCTGCTGGTGCACACAGTGGTTGGATTTGTGATTTGCAGTAGAGTTTTTCTCTCTCAAATATTACAAGAACACACACGTACACACACACAATTTTTTTTTTTTATGACACACATACAAACCACACTCTGACATCCATACCAACACACCCACACAATTATAGCTGCATTATTTATCCAATTGGCTCTATAATATGCAGAAGCAGAAAACAGAAATAAAGCGAGTATTTTCTTTATAGGTCAAACCTGAAAAAATGGCAACATCTGGTAAAAAATAGTAAAAAACTTTAATTTTAAAGCCTTGTCAATAGAATGAAAGCTTATCAACAAAAATTGCATAATTTTACAGTTAAATGGCACTGCGATTAAAAATAGCAGTTTTAATGGGTTTCAATGGGGACATTTTTGTCCTTAAGGTCCTGAGAGGAACAATTTTTTGTACCTAGTGCAAAACAATTATTAAAGGAAATGGAAGTGAAATAGTAAAATTCCAATAAAAATACACACCTGTGCCAAAATTTATGCAGTTGGCAATAACACAGGCAAAATGATCAAAAAAACAAAACTGAAAAGGACAAAAATGTCCAAAAGGTCGCACAAGGGTTAACGACAGAAAGGATGTTTTGGAAGAAGGGCCTTTGCATTTGTCTTGATAATTCTCAGAAGCGTTTTACTTTATAAAACGCAAAATGTGAGATATCATGTTATCATGATTAATTTTCTGATGAACAGTAGGATAAAAAAGAGAGTGTTGTGCAATATCAAGTAGTTTATGAGTAACTGGTTAAATCCATCTAAAATGGTCAAGGCTGGTTTTTGCACGCCACTCTTACAAATAAAGGTTCCAAAAGGGGTTTTTCACAGCGATGCCATAGAAGAACCATTTTTGATTCCCCAAAGAACGTTTCAGTGAACAATTCTTAAAAGAACCTTCTTTTCTTAGTGTGAAGAAGATTTTAATAATCTAAAGAACTAACCTTTTTAACTCTCTAAAAAGAACAATTTTGTGCAATGGAAAAATAAAGTTATTTTTTATTGGCATTGATGGTTCCATGAAGAACCATTAACATCAATGGAACCTTTCCATTTCACAAAAGGTTCTTTATAGTAGAAAAATGTGCTTTAGATTAAGCAAAAATGTTTCTTTTAAGAAAGTTCACTGAAAGGGTCTTTGGAGAACCCAAAATGATTCTTCTATAGCATTGCTGCAAAAAAAACAAAAACATTTTGCACTCCAAAAGGAGGTTTACATATTGGGTTAAGAAGCTTTAGTGTGAACAGTTCTTAAAACAACCATTTCTTCTTACTGTAAAGAATATTTTAACAAGCTGAGGAACCTTTTCCACTATAATAAAAAAACCTTTTGTGGAATGGAAAGGTTCCATGGATGGTAAAGGTTGTTCATGGAACCAATGCCAATAAAGAACCTTTATTTTTAAGAATGCATGGAAGTTAAAGGTTGTTCGTGGAAGCATAGATACCAATAAAGATCTTTTGTTCTTGGAAGCACTTGTCAGCTTGAGCAGCTTAAATTTTTTTTTTTTTTTTTTGATTTACGGAAAATTTTGAGAGGATATGTTGTGCAATCCTTACTTTAATGATAAGGCTCTCAAAAATTGTAACTCATACAGAGAGAAGATGGCGCCGGTCGTGACGGTTTTCTTTTTATTGATGCTCCGAATAAACATAAGCCTGTTTCTCGAACAAGAACCTCTCTATGCATTCGGAACTAAGGGTGCGGCTGTGCTTCAGATACCCTGCATGTATAAATACGTAGACGTCATTGTGTATCGGTTAAATCCGGACAAGTCTCGGGTTGTGAGCAATTACATCGCCAGAGATTCTAGCACCGCATATTTCCTACTTAATATTTCAGAAAATCAAGAGTATTTCTCTGAATGCAGGAAGAATGGGCTGCTTATGGAGAAGAGACGCTTTTACGTGATAGTTTGTGCTCAGATGGAGGAAAAAGAGGAAATGTCTTATCGTCATGGTGAAACTGCGCACATCTCCTGTCAGAAGTTCAATTCCAGTCGTGGAGAAACTCTTCAGGTGTTTCAGAATTTAAAAACAAATGATCTCAGATCGGCAAGTGAAATGATTCTGGATACCAGCGTATCTCTGGAGATCATTCCAGATGCACTTAGGAGCAGAATGAAAGTCCTGAACGAAGGCTCTTTAATTCATTTATCAAAAACTTCAAGTATGGACTATGGTTTTTTCAGTTGTTTGGTTTGGAGTGACAATCAATGCCAAAACTACAAGAAGATTGAACTATACATTGACAGTCAGGACATTTTCCTCGTCTCAGGAGAGAGTTACGCTTTGCCCTGTGGAGTTAAAGGTTCCCCATCAGAGGACATATATTGGCTAACTCCCAGTCGATCAACAGATGAATTTCATGAAATGTTGAATGCAACAAAGACTAGTAACTACTCTTTGGTCATTCCTCACCTCTTGGCGTACCACACTGGATCATACAGCTGTTTTTCACAATTAGAGAAATTTAATCAACTCAACGTTTTTGTTTGTTCCATTCTCGATCCCATCAATATCACATTTGCTTTGGGTGACAGTGCTGATTTGATGTGTGTTTTCAATCTGTCACACTTTCCCAGAGTACAGTGGTACAGGGAGTACAATCAAAGCTCAGAATATCTGCTAGTCGACAGAAAAGGTCGGTTTGTGAAAGAGGACATGAAGAAGCGGCTGAATGCATCCGACCCCAATCACATTACCATATCGGAGCTTTCGATCCAGGACGGCGGCTCATATCGGTGCAGGGTTTGGGAGTTAAATGACATTCCCAGAGGCTGGTGTTTCAGTCGCAGAGTTCATTTAACATACATGACCCCTCAGCTGGACACTTTCTATTTTGTGTATGCTTCTCTGATGGGCCTAATGTTGCTGGGGATGATCTCTGCAGTGGTTTTTGTGACGATAGTAAGCAGGAACAGACACAAAAGAGAGTTTTGTGATGACAACTACGACTAGAATAGACATATAGACATGAATGGGGCCCAAAACAAGTTCAAAGTGAAAATATGTGTTGTTGTTGTTTTAAAAAAGTTAAAAGAAATACATTTATGACTCACTTATATTTTATACTATTTTATCTGGTGAGTCAACGGACCCCAGTGTAGTTTCTTGGATGGACAGAATTAATAAAATGTATCATAAATAAATGAGCATATATACAGTATGTTAATTAGTTAAAAAATGTAATATTTCTGTGACATAAAGTTTTACTTTTTTATACTGCAAAGAAAAAAAGCACTGGGTTGAAATACAAACATTAAAAAAAAAAAGTAAAGGGAAAATATACACATGTAAACATAGGACACCTCAATCAGAAAGAAATATAGGATCATAGTCATTAAATTTGCTGTTCTTATTCTTATTATTATTCTGAGTTTACACAATCTCAGCAAGAAAGACTTTATTTAGGCAAAGTGTAAAGAAACATTCGTGTGAATAAAAAAATAATGTCTTTCAGAGAGTTTTTAAAGTTCGAAACATAAGCAAAAGTAGCAATTTGGCAACTAGCTGGGTAAATATTATGCAGTATCTTAAAATGTACTTATCTTATTTTCTTAGAAATGCATTGATATTAGTCTTAAGATTTATTAAGTATTATTACTTATTGAACTTTATCTTTATTTCTTTTTTTCATACTGTCATATATTAAACTCTTGTTATTCCGATTACATCAATAAAAATAAAAAGCAAAGCAATCAAAAGCAAAGTGTTCTTGTCTTTATGACGCGGACGCCTCGTTGCTAAGAAACAAGGCTTCCATCATCAGCGTGCTTGGTTACAGGGGCGCCACCAATCGTTTTTCCCGATTGCTGTGATTGACGTGATGAGTAGGCGGGTTTAAGTGAAAGAGGCGGAGCTTTACGGAGGAAGCTGACTAAATGGTGAGTTATTTAAACGGGTTATACACTTATATATATCTAATTTAGTAGTTTAAATGTATTCATCCGTTTAAAGTCTGTCGAAACGTGCAGCTGTGATTTAAACACAGGCTGGAGCCGAGTTAACAGAAAGTTAACTAGTTTAAACTTGTTCACAGGCTTTATTTTAAATGTAGAGATATTAATCTAGAAATATGTAACTGTATGCAGTCCAAAATAAATAATACTGCTACCTTGTTTTTGGACATGGTACCTTGTTAATAGTGTGTTTAAAGGGATAGTTCACCTTCAGTTGCTGGTCCCCATTGACTTCCATTGTATGGAACACTATGGAAGTCAATGGGGACCAGCAACCGAAGGTGAACTATCCCTTTAAGTACCTTAGGAGCACCTTACAATGTAAATACTTTAGTACTTATAGCAAAGTACTGTGGTATTGCCGTCATTGTATTATGGTACCACCGCAGTACGTTCTGGTAGGGATCTCCTGGTTGTGTTCAACACGTTTTTCTGTGTCCTCAGGTTTGCTGGTGATGTCAACCTTTCCATCTTCTTCCTCTAAGAGTCTGATCTCCACCCCGCTCAAGTCCAGATCCAGCGGAGACTCGACGTCCTCTCTGCTGTCACCCATCTATCATGACAGCTTTGAGCTTTCAGAGGACGAGCCGGAGTCAGATAAGCCTCAGCCCATGCACAACATCACCGTCACGTTAAGAGAAGACGTCGCTCCAGGCTGTCCATTCAGGTGTGCGGTGCTGAGTAAAAGAAATACAGACTGGCACTGTAACAAACCAGCACTCCAGACATCTCTAGTCGTTAAATCTGACTTGTTTGCAGGGACGAGGTGGACATAACAGGCCTGGAAGACAGATCTTCCAGCGTGCAGTTCAAGCTGAGTGCTTGGGAGCAGTGGATTGTGGATAAAGCCAAAGAGGAGCGTATCGGAAAGCAACAAAAAGCTATGGAGGTACATGGCACTGCTGCTTGAGTATTTATGGGGATATTTTATGCTATTATTACTATTTTCAGCAGTGGTTTTTAGACACATAGTCATTTTTATTTTACTTCTATATGCACTACCATTCAAATATTTTTTTTTTAAATAAATAAATTACAACTTTTATTTAGCAAGGATGCATAAATTTAATTAAAAGTGATGATGTATAATTTTACAAAAGATTTCTATTTCAAATAAATGCTGTTCTTTTGAAATTTCTGTTCATCAAAGAATCCTGAAAAAAGAATCATGACAAAAATATGAAGCAGCACGACGGTTTTCAACATTGATAATAATCAGAAATGTTTAATGAGCATAAAATCAGCATATCAGAATGATTTCTGAAGGATCATGTGACACTGAAGACTGGAGTAATGATGCTGAAAATACAGCTTTGCATCACAAGAATAAATTACATTTTAAAATAATATTAAAATAAAAACAGTTATTTCAAATTGTAGTAATATTTTACAATATTACTGTTTTTTCAATGTATTTGTTGATCAAATAAATGTCAGCATAACGTACTTTCTTTTTTCAAAAACATAGAAAAATTATTTTGAACTGTAGTGTCTTTAAATATTTATATAAATAAATAAATATTAAAACGGATAGTTCACCCAAAAATGAAAAGTCATTAATTACTCACCCTCCCGTCATGCATTAATTAAGGTCTGTATTTCAGGAGCTCACACTGAAGGAAAAACGGAACGAGAAGGAACAAGAACAGCAGAAGAAGACAGTTGTCGGTGATTGCAAAATTCAAGAGTGGCTGCAAATGAAACGAGAACAGGTGATGACCTCCGTGAAACTCCCAGAGCGAACTCTAATTGTCAAATTAAAATTGAGATTTTCTGGCTATTTTGAGAATGGGGTCTGATCTCCTGAAGGCCCTTCTCGTGATTTTACTGTGTTTTTGTGCTTAGGAAAAGAAAGAGAGAATGTCCAAAGGGTTTCAGAAAAGCAAAGAACAGCTTCAAGAGGAGAAAAGACGTGCTGAGATTGAAAAGAAAGCTCAGGAGAAATATAAGGAGTGGCTGCGAAAGAAGAAGCAAGAAGAAATGGAGAGAAAGCTAAAAGAGAAGGTGTTCTGCAATCTGTCTGTCTGATGAGAAAACATATAGAAAAGAGCATTGTGGGGAATTTTTCAAAACATTATTCCCATTGAACGTCATGAGGGTGTGGAAATGATCACAGAATTGACCATTTTGGCTGCATTATTTCTTTAAAAGGAAGAGGCAGCCGGAAGAGAAGCAGAAGAGAGGGAGCGCAGAGAAAAGGCAGAGGAAAGCTTTAAAGAATGGCTAGAAGGTGTAAAAACAAAGGGAAAACTGAGCCGACAATCATCAGCATCCTCAGCCGGTGAGTGAGCAACAAATTCTTTAGCTTTATTCTAGAAGCTGCAAAGTGGTCATAAGAATGAGCAGGTGTATCCAGACGTTTCACTTGTAGCATATTTGTGCATCACACTCTGAAAAATCTGTAAAGCTCCCTAAGTATGGAAGCTTGTTTGTCACAGATTAAAAAAAATGAAAAAGGTAATTGCAACTTTTTGCAAGTTTATATCTCACAATTCAAATTTTTTTCTTGCAATTCTGAATTGTGAGATGACGGATTCCGTGACGGAAATAAGCTTGAATATGTTCTCGCTATTGCGAGTTTATATTTCACAAATCTGAATTTTTTTCTACACAATTATGAGATTATATCTCATGTTCTGACATTTTGACTTTTTGTATTTTTTCAGAATTGCGAGAAAAAAGACTGAATTGCAAGATATAAACTCAGAATTGAGAGAAAAGTTGCAATTACCTTTTTTTAAAAGAAAGCTTCACTTTCTTTCTTGCTATTGCGAGTTTATATCTCACAATTCAGACTTGTCTTCTTAGAATTGTGAGCTTATATCTCAAAATTCTTTGTTTATATCACACAATTCCGACTTTTTTTCTCGCTTTTGGATTTTTTTTTTCCTCAGAATTGTGAAGAAAACAACAACTCCGAATTGTGAGATATAAAAAGTTGCAATTACCTTTTAATTTTTTTATTCTGTGGCGGAAACAAGCTTCATGTTTTGTTTTGTTTTAGTTTATCTCACAATTCTGAGTTTACATGATTGATGAAAATGAAAATTCCATGACAGTTCATAATATCAAGCACAAATATCCACACTGTAGATTCTGGCAAACATGCAACATTGAGATCCAAAGCCAAAAATAATTTGAACACTTTCAGGCAACTATAACAATGTGAACTATCCAGCTCCGAGTTTCGTCAACCCCATTCCCTGGAAACCCATTCACAGCAAGAGCGAACGCCCAGGAAGAGTTCGGCCCGTAAGAGAATGCCAGGACCACCAAAGAGCCAGTCGACCTCCTGTCTCACATACAGACCTAAAGACACGATCAGCTTCGCTTGTAAAAGGCGGTGACGCTGACCTCTGCTGGTCTGAGTCCAGCGGTACCTCTTCTAAAGACTTGCAGCGTTTTTGTCAAGTATTTCAAAAGACTCTTCCTCTTTCATGATGTTATTCGGCATGAGTGAAGATCCAGCAGGAGGCTGAATTGTGTGTCTGCAGGCCTGATGTCATCTTTGTGATGGATTTAGCAGATGTCAGATTCCTCATCTGTCAGTTATGATTTTGACTTGTATATTTTTGGTTGAATGTTTGCTAATTAGAGAATACAGATGATTTTTTTTTTTCCAAATAAAAGATCTTTGCAATTACAGTAATCGCCCAGTATTATTTGAGTTAAATGGTTCCATGCAAACATTTCCACATATCCATCTGTTAGCATTTAAAGGTGGGGTAAGCGATTTCTGGTAGCCAATGTTTTTGTTTTTGAAATCACCAAAACAAACACGCCCCTACCTCAAAAGGGTCTCGCCCCTATTTTGGTAGCTCCGCCCCACACATACGTACGCAACCCAGGCAACGATTAGTTCTGTGAAACAAAGCAAAACCAATGTTACACCATGTCTACACCGGACGCGAGCGGTGCGACAAAATACTATAGAACTCATTATAATCAGTGATGCTGTCTACACCATAGATATATATACTGTACATATCTATGGTCTACACTGGATGCAGCGCGGCAAGACACGACAAATCCCCAACAGAAAACTGCTGCTGCGTTCTATTCATGACGTATTGACACAAATTTCAAATGGTTTTCAACGCTCACTTTGTCGCGTCCAGTGCACTAGACAGACTTTAGCTGTTGCGGTGCAGACACGGTGTTACTCACCTATCGAGAAGAAACAAAGCAACCTCGGCGTCCGATCGCAGGCCTTCCCCTCCTTGAGTTCTCTCCAGCGCTGGAAAGCTGGCTTTCTATGGACATAAAATCACTTTTGTAAATGTCTTTTAATGAGGACATCTTCACGTCTTTGACCCATATACAAAAATAATTATTTTAAATGCAAGTTTTACTAAAATGCTGTTTTTTTTTAGTTTATAGAAAAATACTAAAATCCACTTAAATGCTTTAACACCCACATACCAACACCTATTATGACCATTTTTTTTTATATGGGCAAATACTCATGTTTCCTTTTTTAAAAATGTGAAAAATAAAATAGTCTAGTTACACATGTACGTTGTGCATGTGCATGATTTTCAAAGCAGTCAGTGTTTGCACTCATGGTACAGTAGACTGCCATGGTGTTTAACAAAAGACTGATTCTGAGTCGAACAGGAGGAGTCATTAACTGGCTTATCTGCATTTCCCCGAGTCAACTTCTGACCAGACACAAAGACCTCTGACCTCTGGATCGGGCCGAGAGCCAGACGCACCCCTCACACAGATGAGTGCATTGTCCGGCGTGCAGCGGTGCCTTGTGTTCATTTCAGCTTGTGACGTGCGCGTGAGTGTGTGTGGGTGTGCATTCACAGTTTACACACAGTACTGTAGATTTCATCCCTTCACATTCTCAGAAACACACTGGAGCAGAGATACTGTAAGTGCCACTGTATATTCCTTCTGTAGTGTATAAGACTAGTTTATAATGTGTAACTAGTCAAGGATGTGACAGACTGATCATTTATTACGGTGATTGTGTGTAACAGAGCCAGACGGCATACACTGGAGTGAGTTATGTTTATATCCGGTTCTGCTGAGCAAAGGTCAACTTTCAAGACAGCAGTGCTGCTTTGCTTTTCATTTGTAATCTAGCGCTTTCTAAGATACATATGTATTCAAGTCTTTGTCTTAACCTGAGAATAAGGTTACGGTGGTTTAGGATAGAGATAACAGGCTTTCTCATATGTAACACTTTAAATATGCATGTTTTTTTTCCCAATAGATTGCAATATCTGTAAACAAACTGCAATTCCCAGAGATGCAGTGGTGCAGGTGGGCAGGCGACTGGGCGTCTCGCCTCCAGATGCAGGTAGACAGGGGTGTGTCTGTTTGCGTTTGACTGAGTGTTTCACAGAAAGCAAAGGACGTGGCCGAGAAAATGAGTCAATGTTGAGTTAATGCTGTGTGACGAGGTCGACTCACTTTGTTTAGGCACTATGGAGATTTCTTAATACGTTATTTTTAGTTCTAGTTCACAGAAAAGGCCTGTCTTTGAAAAATAGATTGCAGATATGGTGAAAATAGCACTGGAATGGTGACATTTGCGCCCTGGATGAATCATTTCGTGGTCTGTGGGTCACAATCCGCAAGTATTTATTGCAGAAATGCAGTCCACAGGGCAGGAGGATGAAGACCGCTGTGACTTTCTGTTCAAGATCATCCTGACTGGTGACAGTAATGTGGGAAAGACCTGCGTGATCCACAGCTTCACGTCTGGGCTCTTCAGTGACAGCCAGCACAACACTATTGGAGTGGACTTCACCGTTCGCACGATAGACATCGATGGGATGAGAGTGAAGGTGAGCACTCTGATTTATGATTTTTCAGAGTTTCAGCGGTTCTTTGGGGGGCCCTTAAATTCAGTAAAGAACTTTTCTTATGAAGGCTGTATAGAGATATATATGTAATAAAATAAAAAACAATATTATACTGTAACGGATATATACAGTGGGTATAGAAAAGAATCAGCCCCTTTAAAATAATCACATTTTGTGGCTTTGCAGCCTGAAATGAAGACGGACACAGTTTATGTTTTATCCAGCTGTATTCACTCAGTGCAGCTTATAACATCCAAGTCAAAGATAAAACACCAATATGTCAGAAAAAATAAAAAAACAGAATCGCTGAGTTGGAAAAAGGATCACCCCCCTCCTAAAAACTGACTTGTAAACTTAATCAGGTGTAGCTCATCACCTTCTCAATGACACACAAAACAAAGCCATTTGACTCTCAACTGTGGTCAGCTGTGCTCATTTGAATTATTTTAAAGGGGGTGATTCATTTATTATTTAAATATTATATATATATATATATATATAAGCTATTAATTATTTGAAATAAAGTAAATAAATTAAATTAATACATACAATTCTATATTCATTTTATGTATTAATTATATGTATTTATTAATTTCATGTTAAAAAGTTTATTTTATTTTCATAGGGGAAATAATTAATAATTATATACATTTCTTCAAGAAATATTTTTGTATTATTTTATTATAAATTTAATTTTTTATTAAAAATTGTATAATATATAAAATGCATTATTATTATTATATTTTTATAGGATAAATATATGTCTACAATTATATAGCTA